CAAAGGTTGTGACCTTTATGCTCCAGAGTGCCTTCACAGAGTGAACACAGAGTCCAAAGTCAAAGCTAACATTACTGCAAAGCTTGTGGAACATATTGTTATATTATGCTTCTAGCTGGATAACGTTAGCTTGCTTGCTAACAAGGATGAATTTCAAGTTGTCCAAACTAGCAAAATACTGTCAGCTAGCTTCCTGTAGTTGATGTGGCGAGCTTCCTGTTTGCAGGTTACTTTGTCGGCCGGTACCAGATAACGATGGTCCAAACTAAATATATGAACACTGCAGATAGAAACATTTTTCTGTTCCGCTTTGAAAATGCATCTTGTACCGAGAAGATTTGTCTATTTTAACATGCAACATGGTAAAGATCAACAAACAGAGAACAGCAGATGTTTTATGTTTTTTAAGAGGATAATAAAAATACACTTTTATGCTCATAATGTCGACTGAAGGCAATAAAATAAGTTATTGTTGTCTTTGTCTTCTGTAAAACAGATTCACAGATTCATCCAGTAAACTTTGTGTTCCTGTTTTACATTGACCTGTGTGTGTGTGTGTGTGCGTGTGCGTGTGCGTGCGTGTGTGTGTGTGCATGTGTGTGTGTGTGTGTGAGAACTTGTTGGACTGAACTCACCAGTTTCTGTTCCTGCAGTCAAAAGCTGCCACACCGTTGGAGTCTGGAGTCCATTTAATACCTGACAGAGAGACACGGAGTCAGTTCACGTTTACCTTCCTGACTCAGTGCCAACAATTAAAACACATAAATATATATTATAAATTACAATGTATAAAAAAGAAACATATTAATGTTTCATGAATAAATTCGTTTTATTTGGTTGTTTTTTTTTAAATCTGAAAATAGGTGTGTGTGTAACAATAATATAGTAAAAATGTGAGAACTGGCTGTTTTTGAAAACAACAATGGCAGCTGCTAAAGAGGTTAGAAGAGCAATGGACGGCACCGAAGGCTTTTCTTGATGGAAATCATGTTATTTCTTTTCTCCTGACTGACTTCAGTAAGAGTTTGATTACTGTATATGGTTAATTGATCTGATTGGTTGAAGTTCGCCAGTGAATTCCATAATTAAAAATGTGTCTCATCGTCCTCCATATCATCTCCTCACGGATCTGCTGACTTCCTGCAGCAGCTATTCTGACATGAAACAGTGGGGTAAACACACAGGGTGCTACTTGGTAATGCCTCAGTTTACCTTACTATTTCATGTCAAAATGGCTGCTGTGAAAAAGGTCTATGACTGAACGCTGAGGCTCGCAGTGTGAACTCAGCTCTTCTCTCTCTCGGAGAAGAAACTCACCGGGGTAGATTCTGAAGAACCCGGTGGAGCTGCCGAAGTACTGCCAGGTGAGCGTCGGGTCCTTCTGGAAGTTAAGGATGAAGACGTCGTTTAACGCCTCCGAGTTGTAGATGGCGTTGAGGATGTTGGGATCTGCACACAGAAACAGAACCGAGTAACACCCTGAAGGTGAAGCTCACGGGAACCGCCGAAGACAACAGCGAGAGACAACGTCTGACCTTTGTTGTAGACGTTGGTAGGAATCTGGATGTCGCTCTGCAGCGTGTTCACTAGCATGTTGTTGAAGTGTTCGTTCTCCTCCAGAGGAAACTCTCCGCCCAGCTCCACGTTGTTCCCGTCCTCGTCCACCGTGTTGATCAGCATGGAGTTGTAGTAGTCGAACTGACAGGACACAGGAAGAGGGCGTCAAGAGCTTCCTCTCATATATTAATCCTCAACCGACAGGCATCGCCATTAACAACCTTAAACAACCTGAAGACAACATGGTGTCCCTCCAAAATAAAAAAACTTTGGTAAATAAATGACATACAACCACATTAATATACCACTTAACTGGTAATGAAAGTTTCCATTTAATACTGAACTCTCCACGCCAGCAGGTGGTGGTAGTCTGCATTTGTCTTTTGTGAGCTTTGTGGACACCGTAGTTTCTCCTACACACCTCAAAGGCCATCACATACAGAAGCCAGCAGGATTCAGTTAGTTGCAATCTGAAACTTTACCACTAGATGCCACTAAATGTTACACAATAGTCCTGTAAAAGGTTGCCTGTATATTTCAAAGCCCTTGCACACACCTTTTACTAACTCTGGTAAAGTCAAGTGGTTAAAAAAGGTCAAATGTTAGACTTTTAAACCAACAAATTACCTGAAAACTTTCCACGATCATTTATTAAAGTATAAAACAAAGACGTGGCTCAGGACACCGATATCTGCTTTTAATTAGCTGTAACGGACTATTTAGTGAAACATACAGTTTTAATAAGTTCTTATTTTGTCCCGTAAATGCAAATGACAACCAAATTTCTAGAAACTGTTTGTGTCACACTGTGTGGGTGATCCGATAGTGCTGACTCAGCAAATAAAGGCTTCTGTGGATTTCTTGTTTCAAACCACTGACAATGTTAAAGTTCCCGCAAGTAGCACCGCAATAAAGTGTCGACCCACTTTCCTCACAGGATCAGTGAAGTTTGACCTGATCTAAATTCAGGTGTCAGCTGAATCTTTAAAGCTTCAATCTGCTGCAGCGTCCAGCACAGAGAGTTAGCATGCTAACGTTAGCATTCAGCTGAGCCAAAGCACACCGGGGGCTCAGACCAATTAAACTGTTGAGGGATTAACTCCTGCAGGTTTCAGCTCGGAGTGAAATAAATAAACACTAATGGCTGCCTGAACTGTAACATATAACAGGATCAAACAGGAGCACCAACCATTAATGTAGCGTTGAACTCGTGGTACAGATCGGCGTCCTCTGCAGACTCCGCTAACCTCTAAAGCAAAGAAACAGAACACAGAAGTCTGAATGAGTCGCACGGATTGAAATGGAGAACAAAAACAACGTTATAATAATCCTTTAATGCAGCCGTTACAAACCTTTTCAGGATTGTGACCCCGTAAAATGAAGTAATGTTTAATTCACTGGTTACATAAGACCGAGAGCCGCGAGCAACCGGAGTGTTTAAAGCCTTAAAACCTTCTCACATTGTTTCATTTTGAATATGTTTTAATTCATTTTCCAGGAGTTTTCATGACAATATGGGACAATTTCTCACAAACAGTCATATAATGTACCAGTTTTATTCCTCCTTTTTTAATGATGCAAGTTCATTACAGGTAGGTGGTTTATGGGACTAACCCTAACCCTAACCCTAACGGTAACCGATCAAACGATGTGCAGCGTGTTCGTATTGACAAAAGATTAAACCTTGATATTTGTGTAGGCGATCTAAACATCTTAAAACTCGCTCAAGCGGGCGGGTGGGTTTTAAGAGGTTTTATATATACAAAGAACTTTTAAAATCCAGGCCACTAATTGAGAGTAAAGGAGACATATGTCTAATTGGTACCCTGTTTTTAATTTAAGTTTTACGATATTTACAGTATTACGAACTGAGTATGCATGTATTAAAGGTAGGGTCAGTCTTTCTGTTGAGACTCAAAGCGTCGGTATCTGACGGTCTGGGAATGAGACTTAGAATGAAACCAGTTAAGTCTGGCGTAGCATAATGCAACAGTTTCATGCTGTTTACTACTATGAGAGTTTGTTGGTAGTATTTGGAGGCAGTTCAGATTACAGATTATTATTATTATTTATTATTATTTCTTTTATTTGAACATTTAAGGTTGAAGAAGACTCTCTGTTCTCACCTTCACTGACTTCATCTTGCTTCCCAACATCCGTTCGATCTCATCTGAGTAATCCTTCACCAAGTCGTTTCCGTTCAACTCCACGATCTTAATGATGGACTCCACGTCCTTCAGTTTCTGAGAGGAGACAAAGACAAAGGTTTTAACAGAGTAGCTGCTGCACTGGTTTTAGCTGAAGTGGATCCAAAAAAATAAATAAAGCAAAGACACAAATATAGTTTAATCTCATCAACAGAAGACCAATTCTCTTCCATTCAACATTATAACTTGTGTCTATATTTGCTTGGTATTATGTGCTGAGAACTGTTCTTTAGAGAACTTCTGTCTGGAACATCAAACCCACCGACATCAGACTCATCAGAACTAGATTTTCTTTCATAAAGTCAACAAAAATTAAAGTATATTTCATTTGTGTTAAACTTCCTGGAGGGACTGACTATTGTTTCATATGCAAAGTCATTTAAAGAATATCTGATCTTATATATATTTATATATTATAGATATTTGGCTTGTTTTTCTTATTTTATTGAAATTGATGTGATTTTAAATTGCTCTTTGCTTTAATCGTTATCCACTTTTAAAGAATAAATACTTTGATAAATACAAACCTGTGTCATCTCGTGGTCGACTGATATGGGCTGCCGATGGCCGATATATAACCATGATATCAAAACAAAGAATAGTCTCGTATTATTCTATTCTCTAGTTATAGTACAGTCCTCCAATCTTGATTTGATCGGCTTTATTTCGGGATGTTTCCACACTGTGACTGAAACAGTGAGACTGATTTAATGCTGCTGGCAGTTCGTTTTGAACAGATTAAATGGGCTGTCTTGATGTGTGTCGATGTGTGTTAATGTGTTTGTTGTGTGATGATGTGTGTCGATGTGTGTTTGTTGTGTGATGATGTGTGTTGATGTGTGTTTGTTGTGTGTTGATATGTGATGATGTGTGTCGATGTGTGTCGATGTGTTTTTGTTGTGTGTTGATGTGTGATGATGTGTGTCGATGTGTGTTTGTTGTGTGATGATGTGTGTCGATGTGTGTTGATGTGTGTTTGTTGTGTGATGATGTGTGTTGATGTGTGTTTGTTGTGTGTTGATATGTGTTGATGTGTGTTGATGTGTGTTTGTTGTGTGTTGATATGTGTTGATGTGTGTCGATGTGTGTCGATGTGTTTTTACAGCGAGACTCTCTGAGGTAATCAGGTCACTTTCTCTGGATCAAGAAGCTCGAAGTGGATCAGCCAGCGGAGAGCGAGGAGGGACGCCGCAGTTGTGTTATTTACACTCTGAATCACTCGATTAAGTCATTCGCTAATTCCAGTTACCGTAAGTAACCCACTTACTGAGGTCAATAATGAGCGGAGCCAAACATTGGTTTCTCAGCTCAGATCTTTATGTCAGACTGTTTATTGCAGGTGACACACACTCAGACACTGAAAACGACAAATATTTTAACATATCGCCCAACCCTCTTTCCCATCCAGCCCATAGGCGGCCTTAGCTATGTTTGACCCCTTTTCAAAACTATATCGGCCTGTAGGCTTCAACCAATACTAGTGGGCGTTCAGCGATCACCGAAGTTGACCCGTCTGACGACAACCTCGCTCAAGGAGCGTCTGTCAGTTCGGATTTCAACTGAGCGAGAAGCAACAAGGTTGCCGGACAAAGACGAACTTATTCGATTATTCTCAGCACTCAAACACAGGAGGGTGAAGCTCTGGACAGGAGTCTTTTAACTCGTTTTAGTAGAAATAAAGTTAGTAATAATATTACAATATTCTTTTTTATATTGATTCATTTCTCTCTCCTGCTTTGTTTGGGTTGTTTCAGTTTGTAATTAAAAGTATTGTTTGTATTATTTCTACGTTGAGCTGTCTGTGATGCTGAAAGTGAAACATAATGTATTTAACTATCAGTAGTTTCAGACATGTTTCAGTCTCAAGTTCAATCTGACATTGCTGTAGTTGTTCCGTGCTGAACAATAGTTGTTGAGGAGGGTAAAGAGCTCTTCGGTACTGGTTGACGCCGTCTGCAGCGTCGTCTGAACTACGGTAGGTGGTTGTGTTTTTGAAAGCAGACAAACTGCAGACTGCCTGTGATAAATCTAAATCTGACAGATAAATGGATGAATGTCTAAAATCAGAACAGGCCACAAATCCTGACGCCGGTAAAGAGGGCTCGGTCCTCAATCTGGGCATTACCATGATCCCTGTGTGTGTGTGTGTGTGTGTGTGTGTGTGTCTGTCTGTCTGGTAAACACACATAAATACACAGACAGACACAAACAAACAAACAGTCCATATTATTGTCTGTTCCCAGTTCAACCAGGCTGCTGCTGTTCGGACCAGTTTGAGTTTCAGCTGTTTTTCAGTGGTTTTACTTTAATCAGTAGAAATGTTACATCATATCATTTCTAATCCAAAACAAACTCTCATCCTGCTTTAATATTTAATGGAAAACGCCCCCAAAAATCTGGTTTTATTATTATTATTGTGTTATTTGTCTTGCACCAGTGTGTTTTTATATTCAGTTTAGTGCGTTATGTGCTTTATGAGTGAGTAATTTTTGCAGTTTTAAGTCTTTTCCTGACTTTAAGCGAGCTTACTTCCAATCAGAAATCAGGCTAGATAGACAGATAGACAGATAGATAGATAGTTACTCCATTCAATTTTTTGTGAAAGTCGCAAGGAGCAACTGGAGGAAACTCTCGACCAACGTCTCTTCATGATACTGACTGACAACCTTTCAGAAAAACAGTTGCTGCTGATATAAATAAAGATTAAATCCTCATTTAAAGTGTATCTGGATATTAAAATGGTGAACTCTCTCCTCATTTTTTAAAAGGAAATTAATTAAACATTTTTTTAATATTAGTTTTTTACATATTTTTTATCCCTTTATTTGTATTTAGTTGATCTAGTTATTGCTTTATTGTCTCTTTCTCTTTCACTGTTATATAATCTCTTGTTCTGGGTTTATATCATTTATTGTGTTGTGATGGAAACATATTGAAAACAATAAAAACATTGCTCTCAACTCTATTAGTGCGTGTGTGGTCAACTGGCATTCTGGGAAATGTAGGAAAAGCACTGAAAACTGAAGCTCTGTCACACAGCGCGAGTCAAACTTTAACAGGATCTTTCTCTTAAAGGATTCAGCAGGATTTACCTTCTGCAGCAGCAGAGAGCCGGAGTATTTGGTTGTGGATTCTCGGAGCTGAACAGAGAACACAGACGCCCACTGCTGCACCCTGAAACACAGACAGAGAGACAGACAGACAGACAGAGAGACAGACAGAAAAATACAACATGAAACAACAAGAACAGAACAGTGTTTTTAGAATAGTTTTGTACAGTAATCAGTTGATTGACGGGTGAATATTACGATATTATTGGTTGAAATCAGTCACATTTTGTTTTACAGGAAGACAAAATGATTGGATTTTGATATAAAAATACGAAGAAATTAAGTTTTTGTAAATGTTTTTAGCATAAATTGTTAAACAGGACAACAATATAACTGAGGATGAGATCTTAAAAGGTTAAATGACATTTTTCATTTCACTTTAAATGGGTTAGTTTGGATTTATGGAAGCATATGAGGTACGTTCATTGGTTGGCAGGCAGCAGCACTAATACGGAAGCTAAGAAATGCACTGCTGTGGAAAGGGGCTGCATAAAAAAAATATTTTAGCCACCAAACAACAATCTATATTAGTTTCAGTGTGTCGCTATATGTAGAATATTTTCACTGCTTTACCTCGCCCTCAGACAGGAAACTGTAGTCTTGTATCTCCAAAGCCACCAGACTTCACTGACAAAAACAACAATTTTACCTCACAGAACATAGGAGGTGCTGGTCCACCGCTGCCTCAATCCGATTAGTTCAGATCCAAAGTAATCACAGAGGCAGCAGCAGACCAGAAACTCTGTGTTCTTCAAGGTAAAATTGCTGTTTTTGTCAATGAAGTCTGGTGGCTTTGAGGAGAGAATAGATTGATATAAATGCTTCAGTTTTCAGTTAAAATGGACAGTAAGGTAAAGCCATCGGAGCTGGAAGTGGAGCCGCTGGGATAATGAAAACATAAAAATGTTTAAACACATGACTTGCTCCTTTTCTACTGGGATTTTAATATGTATGCTGGTATTTATGGCAAGAATTTGCTGTTTTTTTATCAGTTGTATCAGCTAAAATGTTATAAAATGTGTGTAGAATGTTGTTAATAACTATTAAATAGGCTATAAGTTATCCTTAATTAATTCAAACACCATGAAGGTGATGAGCTTAGCATTTAGTATGACATTATATAGACAGTAAAGCGGTAAAAATATTCTGAATATAACATTAACTTAAACTGATTCTGATCTTTTTTTGGTAGTTAAAATAAGTCCCCAACCACAGCGGGGCATCATTTAACTTCCGTATTAATACGCGTGACTGCTTGTTTATTACAGGAGTTTAATAAAGTTCCACAAAAAACAAAATGATGCAAACAGCAGCAACAAATGAACAAACTTATGTAAACAGTGTTTTTCGTTGGCTGTCTGTTGCCGTGGTGACGCAGGGGACCGGCGACGGGTTACGGCAGAAAAAGGCAGTTAAATATGACAGCGGCGAGAGAGATTTAGATAATCTGTTCTTCATCTGGGTCACAGCGGAGAGCTGCAGGTGTCTGCTCAGCACAAAGTCACAATGACACAAAAACACAACAGAAACACACACACACACACACACACACACACACACAGCTCTACACGGCAGCAGCACGAGTTTCAGCGTCATTAAAAATAACAGTTTTCATTATATTACAGTTATTCTGATCCAGTGATACTGAACAGACACTGAATCTCTGCTCACCTGAACATCTAAAATAAGAATATAAATGAGTGAATAAGGATCTTACAGAGGGTTGAACGCTAGATGAACACCCAAAGGCATAAAGGTTGATTAATCTCAATTTCACCAGTTCATTTTGACCTTGTCAGATAAACACGCTAACGACGCCACGAGGCCGAAACGTTAGCATGAAAAGGTACATTTCAAATAAATAAACATGTTTGTAGCAGTTTCACACAGTTGTCATTGTCATTTTAATGCTTTAATGAAGTTTATTTATCTAAAAAGGGACAATGCACATTAATTAACACAGGTCCTTTATATAAATGAGTCACATATATTCAGTGTTCATCTGCAGTCTGACAGGTTGACATAAACAGATAAAACAGCCTTGTTACTTTGTTTATCTTCATACATTGTTTTGTTTTAGATCTTTATAATGTAATTATTACCAATTACACATATCGCTGTTTAAGCTCATAGCTTTTGATTAATACTATTAAACATTACAGGTTTTAACAGACGACGTCACATCGCTCCAAGTTTTAGAATTGATTTTAAGACCCGCCTGAAGAATCTGGAGACTGTACACAGGGTTTTAGAGGTCCAGAAACAGGACTTGGGGCCATAAAAGTAGTTATTTTTTGGCATTTAACAAATTTGATCATCTATGACTTTCATAAAAATACTGAGGTGGATGGCGGCAGTCAATAAGAAGTACGACTGCTCTGTGCTGGTGAGAACTGGCTGACTTTGGTTACAGCCCATACGGTTTATTTTAAAGAAAAATTCATCTTCTCACTCATTAGCCTAATTAAAAGTGTTTGTTTCACATACGATTAACATTGTGTTACATGTATTTATTAATGCGGCTCCAGGAAACGCCGTAAAACAAAATATGTAGTCGATCTGAGTGAAGGGCTAAAGGACAGCAGAGGTTATTATCAGGATATTTGCTTATTTTAATAGATTTTTAGGTGTTTCCATGACTGTAAAACTAGTCTCTAAATTTCCAGGTTTTCCAGGACGCCTGGGAACCCTGGAATATGATCTCAGACTGAATGTAGAATCCATTTTAGAGCCGGAGTGGAGACATGAATCCTAATATTAATAACACCTCAGACACTGTAACGCAGCTGTTGTTTGTATTTAGTCTTTTTATATAATCAAAGATGTAAACAATAAAAACAACAAACATTAGAAGGTGCTGCATCCACCAGCGTGGTACAATTACGAGCTCATTAATTATTAAGATATCAGTGTTATAAACTCAGAGCCGCCGCCACCTGCAGGTTCGGGTTGTCACATTTAATCTGTTTGGGTGTGACGCGAGGACACAAACAAAGCGTGGACGCGTCCCCATAAGGACAAAAACTTATCCTGGTTACATAAACGTTACGTTCAACGGCTGCAAAGGTTTTCACAATGGAGAATTTGGTGTTGCATTCAGGGTGGTTTCATTGTTTTTAAATGTGTTTGCTGTAAAGACAACGGGGAGTCCACACACACAAACACACACACACACACTTTACTGCACTGAAGCAGGACTGTGTGTGTGTGTGTTTACTCAGCATGTGTTGAACAACAGAGGAGTTTATTGATCCATCTGTTCTGGACATTAATCCTCTCAGTGCTCACACACAGAGAGAGTGTGTGTGTGTGTGTTCAGACGCTCACACACACACACTCACTGCGGGATTCTTCCTGGTTTTATGATATTCAGTCGATAAGAAGAAAACTCTGATGTCAGAACAATAATTTAAGAAATAAACGTAATGTACCTTCAGCAGGTAAAAGGTTTATTAAGCCGTCTTAAACAGGGAGTGGCGGCAGTCATTCTCCACGTGCAGCAGGACGCCGTTAATGACATCAATGACATCAATGTCACATGTTATTAATGTTATTTAAGATCCTTGATGAACCATCTGACTGATGAAGGTACCGAAACAAACAAATGTTTGTACTGAAAGTTAGTTTCTACTTTCTGGCACTGAATCCTGAAACAGATGCAAAGGGTTTCAAAATTCACGTTTTGGTTCTCAACAACTACACTATATAATAATAATAAATAAACCTGTAAAATTAAAGATTTATTTATTATTAAATATTAATAAAAATGACATAAAGAGACTGAAGAATCTGTATTTGTTTGTGAATTGACAGATATCTGGTATAATTTTCACAACAAAAACATTGAATAAATGTTTGGTAAACTGTCCAAATACAGTTTTTATCAGTTAAAACAGCAATAATTATTGTAATTTACCGATAATGACTTTAATTACAGTTCAATAACTTTTAAAATTCAGATTAAAATTAAAGCAACGCAACTCGGGGTGTCCTCACAGTGGTCGCTGGCTCGGTCCCTAATTAAAGCTGCAAATCAAAATTCAACGCTACGCCACAGACACAACAAATAACTTGATAATGATATTCTTTCATTGTGAATGTCTCCAGAGTGTACTGACCAATTCTCTAGAAGGAGTTTGTTAAAATACAAAGCGTGCAAATCGCCAAAAAATGGCAGATTCCAACTTATATTCAACCAATATCCATTTCAGGCTCAAATGAACAAGTTCAAGTTGAAGCCCCGCCCATTTTTGAGTACAGATATGAATACAGATAGTTTACAGTTTTATAACCCTAACCCAGAATACTTTAAACGTTTTCTTCACTAGCACTGCTGTACAACTACCGAGGTCCAAAAACTGAACTTGCTAGCAGACTTTGATGCCTCAAAGCATCAAAATACTTTTTTTTTTTCTAAATTCAACGGCAAACACCACTGACGCCGTTCAACGAAGCGTCACAACATTTACTAAAAAATCACCAGCAAAGTTAAGTTAGATCTGATCAATCAACTTGGAGTAGTACATAAAAGTATAAAACATTTACTGTTTCCAGTAGGGTCGTTCATAGTGAGACTCTTATCAGACGGATTGTTTGTTTTATGTTATATTCTTTGTTTTTATTTTAGATTGAATGTGTTTGTCTAGACTAATAAC